TAAAGGAAAAATAATCATTGTAATGATTAGGGATTTCAACAAACCTAAATAAAGACTAAAGACTTGTCCTACCTAGAACTAGAACAGTAGTTCTCAACCAGGAGGCCTCTGCAAACTTCCAAGGGGGCTGCATATTATTAATATTTTTGGACACAATGTTGAAGAAAGGAGCCCAGAAGCAAAGAAATAAGTCCCAGCTGGGAGGGAATGGAGGCAACGGTCTAACACTATTCTTTCCATCAATGTGGGACCACCCCCAGAACCGAACCAGGCCTTAGTCTGTCGGGTCAATATGGATGCCCTATGGAGGTCTTACTGGCTGGGCTGGATCAAAGCTCCATGCGTGGAAACGTTGGGCAAGGCACGAGCAGTGAGGCTAAGCCCATAATGGGACAAAATGGCCTTCTTTAACATTCCATACTCAGCTGCATCTCTATCGGACATCTTGACAGGCCCTCTGGGCCTCGCCTGTCAAAAAAAGTGCCAACAGTGCACCCCAATCTTTTTAAGGCCATTCCTCTCTGATTGCTGTTCTTTCAAATACCTCCAAGTAGGCTTCCCCGTCATCCTCTGGAGTCTGCTTATTGAGGACCCAACCTGGGTTTGGACATGATGGTAGTAACTGCCTCCCTAAGGGCACTCAGCTCCTCTCTCTGTTTAGCATGACTGGTCAACAAGACCTTAATCGCATCTTCCATTTCGTCCTTCTCCAGGTCTAGTTTTGTGGCAACTCAAGCACTGGAACTGTGACACGCCCCAAAGCAGGGAGAGGTCACAAAACACAACCACAAGAGAGAAGGAGGCAGGGTTAACAGAAACTGTCTTTTATTTAACAAAAAATATATAGGATGGCCAAAAAGGATCCAAATTGTTCTTTCCGGTCAGGGGTACTCATGACAGCAGCGTTCCTACCGTCTGCTTGAACTCTAGGCTTCCTTGTGTAACGGAGGCCAGTTAGTAGTTGCTGTGCACGTAAACTCAAGTAACCTCACTTTAGCCTCCTTGTTAGAGCACCTGACTCTCATGCCGGAGACCCGAGTTCGAGGCCTGCTCGGACCGAGTCGAGTAGAACCCGGGTGGAGGGGTTACATTGGTGCCGTGACCCGGATGAGGTTTAGGGGGGTGAGTGTAATGGAAGCCAGCTAGTAGTTGCTGTGCAAGTAAACCTCACTCCTCTGACCTCAATAGGTGCTCTAGCAACAGACGCAAGAGGCTGCAGTCTTTAGCCTCCTTGTTAGAGCGCCCGACTAAAGTGCCGGAGCAGCGCAGTCTCATCCCAAGACGTCATATAACTGACGTCTTGGGACGTCTTTTGACCATACGTCAACATCCGCCTTTTTAGGGTACCCTTAAATGTCGGTTAGATGACGTTATGGGATCCTAACCCTACCCCAGACCTAAACCTACCCCGTCACCTAACCAACGTTAAAGGTAAATCGTCAGTTGTAGGACGGCCCTGGATCGTCATTTAACCAACGTTTAAGGGTACCCTAAAAAGGCGGATGTTGACGTGTGGTCAAAAGACGTCCCAAGACGTCAGTTATATGACGTCTTGGGATGAGACTGTGTTAGCCGGAGACTCGGGTTTGAGGCCCACTCGAAACAGGTCGAGAAGGACCTGGGTGGAGGGGTTATATTGGTGCCGTGACCCGGATGAGAGTGATTTTTAGGGGGGTGAGTGTAACGGAGGCCAGCTAGTAGTTGCCCTGCAAGTAAACCTCACTCCTCTGATCTCAATAGGCACTCTAGCGACAGACGCTAAAGGCTGCAGTCTTTAGCCTCCTTGTTAGAGCGCCCGACTCTCAAGCTGGAAACCCGGATTCGAGGACCGCTCGGAACGGGTCGAGTAGGACCCGGGTGGAGGGGTTACATTTGAAGGGGGAAGATAGGAAAAACGAAAGGCAAACTTGGTAAAGAAGAGATTACAAGGGTAACTGTGTCTTTTCTTTCTCTTCAGCCCGTCTCACTCTAGGCTTCACTGTGCTTCTTCACCTCAGGACCATCTCTCCTTTGAGTGAAGCACAGATCCCAGATTTATCCCAGATTGGCTACAGCTGTGAGTGGTTCCATGTTTGAAGGGTGAACAGCTGGGAAGTATTCATAATTGAAGATTTTTCCCAGCTCCAGGGCTCCTTTCTCCAACATTGTTGTTCCACAATATATAATATTATATAATAAAGTTATATGTAATAATGTTATGTTTTTAATCTAATTTTATGTTATTAATAGAAATATTGATTAAAATGTTTCAAAAAGCATTTAATCATAATGTTAACAGTTTCTTCTTTAGATTCTGTCATCACATAAACTTCACTTGTCATGTAAAGATAGAGGAGAGACGAAGCACAACTGGATGCCACATCTCTCCATTAGGCTGTCATAGTCCATTAAACACCGGCTTGCTTTCAACTTTATATTCAGAGTGTGTCCGCAACATGAGGTAAACATTTCGAGTGTTTGTAACAAAGTGAAAAATGTTATTAGCCACAATAAATGCTTGTGTGGCTCGTAAAAGGTCAGGATAGTGGAAAAATGCTTTTTCACCAAAAAAAAAAAAAAAAAAGAAGAAAGTGAAATGAAATTGAACCCAATCCAAATCCGGCCCTACAACAAACATGACTTTTCGTGGCCCTCAGCCTTTGGCTCGATAACGACGGAAGGATGTGAGGAGAACACAAATGAACCCGAAGCCCTGATTAGAGGAATGCTGTTTTTTGAAACGGGAGGGGGGCTGCTTTGTGTTTAAACTATGAGAGAAACTCCCACATACGGCAGGACAGAGGAATGTGTATCTGATTACATTCTGCCTGCTCAGCCTCCGGCTCTCCCATGTAAACAGTCACCTGACTAACAGAGAGAGAGAGAGACTGAGAGGGGCAGAGAGAGAGGGAGAAGCATTACATCAGTGCACTGGTAAAGAGGAATGTGGGTTCACTGCAGTGAGATGCCTTAAACCCATGTGAAAAGAGAGAGAGAAGGGGGAAGCTGTGTTGTTCATACAATCTCATTCATTTAGAAGGGTCCCGCCAATGACACCTGTTCAAACACACAGTTTCTATTACTTTCACTCCATCTAAAAAGAGTCTCAGCCTGCAGAAGACCACCAGGGGGAATGTCACCCACCGCTGGGCTGCCCTGCATGCTTTAACCCCTATAACATCATCAACCTGACACAATATCAATACACTGATCCTCGCCACACACACACACAGACACTGTTCGAGCCGCTTAACATGACCTCTAGCCTAAAGTAAAACCTGCCTTCGGCTATGAAATCTGTACAACAGAACCGGACGGATCTCGCCACACCTAACTTCCTTTAAGAGAACATGAAGTGAAAGTTGAGACACAGAGTCACAACACACAATGATAAATGAACTCAGATTGCAGAGTAGTTGTTTTGGTAATAATTGCAATAGGATGACATTAACATTAACAACAATACTTTTACAACATGAACAATTATAAATCTAGGCTATCTTACTACTGTAAAAATATCATTGTTCATTATAAATTCATGCTCTATTAAAATACATGAAACTACCATTTAAAAGTTTAGGGTCAGTAGTATTTTTTTTTTGTTAGAAGAAATTAATAAAAAATAATTTCAGCATTTTTTTTTTTCAAATTTAAATTGAAAGTAAAAACAATCATAATGTTACAAAATATTTCTATTTTTAATAAATGCTGCTCTATTAATGAAAAAAAAATTGTATAATGGTTTCCACAAAAATATCAAAAAATAAAAATATCTTGATCAGCAAATCACCATATTATATCATGTGTATAAGTATCATGTGACACTAAAGACTGGAGTAATGATGTTGAAATTCAGCTTTCCCACAGGAATAAACGACATTTTAAAATATATTGAAGTAGAAAACAGTTATTTTAAATTGTGATAATACTTTGAAATATATATATATAAAAAGTTTTTAATTTTAGATTAAATAAATGCAGGTTTGGTGAGCATAAAATACTTCTTTCAAAAATATGTTAAAAACATCTTACCGACCCCAAACATTTGAATGGTAGTGTATATTGATTTATACAACTCGACATTTAAAAAAAAAAAAAATTAAATTAGGATTAATAAATACTGTAAAAATACTGTTCATTATGAACTAACAATGTTAAAAGGAACCTTGCTGTCAAGTTTTTGACAAGCACGGGTCATGTGTAATATTCATCAAGCACTTTTGACGATAATAGCGAGATTTTCATCTCAACTTAACGTGATAGTTCACCCAAAAATGTACAACCATATGATGTTCCTTTATGTTTGGTGAAACATGAAAATAGATATTTGTTGCCCATACAATGGAAGTCAATGGTTACCACAACTGTTTGGTAATCAACATTGTTCAAAAATCTTTTTCATTCTTTTGTAGATGAAAAAATCATACAGGTTTGGAATGACAAAGTTAAGGAAAAGATGACAGAACTTTCCTTTTTGGTGAAATATCAATTTAACATGAAAATGTGTGAGAGAATGGCAGTTTAAAACACTATCTGACACTGGTTGACAAATATTTTCAGCTAAATCTCATACAGTAGCATCAGTTAAGCCAACATTGCTGTGTTGGGCCTGTCGGGATGCTCAACTCAATCTACCAATGTTTGTCTCACAGTTGTCTAAAAGCTAGAAGCTAGTATTTTAACATTATAAAACGAACTCATTTTTAGTATCAGACCTGAACCACGTGTTTCATGTTATTCCCTGCGACAGTTCAATCCAATGCTAGCTTTCATTTTACTTCTCTCTCTCTCTCTCTCTGGCCTCTCTCTGCCTGATATGTCACAGCTGCGTTGAAAAGCCATCCCACCGGCTACCCGGGAAACGGGACGAGGCAGTGAAGAACGGGATCAGCTGCCCCGTCCTCCTCTTTACTTTCTTCTCTCAACAAAAGCTTATTCCCAACCACAAACCCTTAAAAATGAACTATTCTCAACAGTAACAAGTGCAGCTCACAGTCCAAGCAAAACTTGACAAGTCTTACCGTGGAGGTGGTGATGGTGGTGATGGTGGTTCTGTTGGTTGTTCTCCAGGCCGACGGGGTGGCATGCCCCCAACTCGGCCAGTCTGCGGCTGGTCGCGGAGAGCTCGGAGCGCAGGTTGGTCACCTCCTGGCTGGCCGACTGAATGGCCCCATCGATCCGCTGAGCCAGCTGCTTGTTGTCCTCCATCATTTTCAGGATTTTGCCCTGAGAAGCAAATCCACACAGAGGCGCATGGTGTCAAGGGTCTCCTCAACAAGCCGCGGGTCCCCTGTCCCCCTTTATCTCTCCACGGCTGCCACAGTTTAGACCACACAAACAAAACACGCGCTGGAGAAGAGGAAAAAAAATCCCCAGTCAGACTCCCCTCCTCCTTATCCCAGCAGAAAAACCTAATCACTACCTGTCCTCTGTTAGTGTGAAAGAGAGCTGAGTGTGTGATAGAGAGAGAGGGAGAGAGACAGAGCACGTGAGAGAACGTAACGGACAGACGAAACAGCAGGTAGAGGAGTGAAAGAGTTCCCGCGCTCCCAGCAGCTGCTTCCAGAGAGAACACAGTGCATTGAGAGATGACATGCTCTCTTTTAAACGGAACGTACCATGTGTGCTAGATTTCTGGGGGAGAGAGGGAGGGAGCTAAAGTCTGATGTTTCCAAAACTCTGTAAACCGCAGGAGAGAGCTTCCCTGTTTGTATTGGTTTGTAACAAGTAAGCAACTGCTCTTGTGTTGCCGATGTGGACTTTCTCACACTTCCTTGATCCCTTGACAAACACGTGTCAAGCTGGATACATCTATTCTATCGGACAAACACACTCCCACCCCTTTCCCTTTCTCTTCATTACATATTCATTCTTTTGTCCCTGGGAAACGCTCCCCCACTCTTGAGGTTGCGGATGGGGGTGGGTGGACTCAACTCGGGGGGAGAGGAACCAGGCAGACCTCTGTGCTGGACACGAGGGACAGCTATTAGTCCGGCCCCCTGCACGCAGGAAGTGAAGAGAATTACACTGAAAGCAATCAATCTCCTTGCAGGGTCAAAAGTTTGAGGCTGATTTTGAAAAGCTCTCTGGTCTTCAGATGCAGACTCAAAACGATTTATCCTTTCCCAGAAGTCTTACACAACAGATTGAAAAGTCTGTATGTACTTTAAGTATAGGAATCAAAGAAGCTCCTACGCTGTTCACTGAGACGCTGGCCTATGACACATTTGGATGGACCTCGAGATCATCCAAAACCTTAATTGACCCATCATCTATCCTAAATGTATAACCTTTAGAACAGGTGTTGGGGGAGCCATAAAATCTGCTAATACGTTTTATGAACGAACAAACAAACAAATTAATCAATTAATTCATGAATTTGGCAGATCATCCATAACATTTATATTATACCAATTAATGCATTAACTAGAAAAATAATGAATGCATTTGGGCAGATGTGTATTATTCAAAATGACTTACATTGCTTTCAAGGTCTACATCATATCAAGTCATGCCTTAACTAGGGTAAAATAAAGATAAATAAATAATGAAAATAATCTACTTTTTTTTTTTTTTTTTTGCATTGACAGATGATTTTATCCAAAATGACTAGCATTGCATTCAAAGGTCATATTACTGCATTAACTGGGGTAATGAAATTGGGTAAATAATGATTACATTTTATATATATATTTATGCATTTGGCAGATGATATTTTCCAAAGTGACTTGCACACTGCAGTATAACAATTCCTGTATTAACCAGGGAAAATAATAATAAAATAAAATGTAAAATGAATTTTAAAAAAAAAACAATTTAAAAATAATGCATGCATTTTGCAGATGATTTTATCCAAAAGTACTTAAATTAAAAGCGGATAAATAAAAATAGGGGAAAAAACGGTTTATATGTGCTCAATCAAGCTATTTCATGCACAAGTATTTAATTTTAAAATAAACAGAGCCAATCTAGGTGATTGCCTACCGATTAGAGGCAAATCCAGCCAAATTTAACCCCTGCTTATGACTATAATCAACACCAGCTTTTAACAGTGTGGCTTTTATATTCCCCAGGCAAAACATTGGCTGAAAATGAGCAAAATCACTAAATTCCAAGAGCAAATTGATGGGGTGTGTGAGCGAGAGAAGCAAATCTGGTGAACCATCCCGGCAAAGACCTATCATTTCAACACTCTGACTGAGACGCATCCTCGTTGGTATTCACATGAAGTAATGCCAGAAATGAATGGGAAACAACATAGGAATCCACACTAAAAACAACTAAAGATATTTTTTTTCAGCAAACAGATTTTTTTCTGTCAGTGGATTTTCATTTGCATCCATCTTCCTCATAATTTAAAGGTGGATCAAATGTAATGCTATGAAGTCAATTAGTTTTCAGTAGGCAGACTGATTGATTTCCATCAGAAATGAACTGGAAAGAGCGCCACATCTGCTTTGCTAACAGCATTCATGCTGAGATTCAGGCTGTAGCTGAAAAAAAGCAGTGAGGCAGGGCTTTGTTTTCAAATCCCAGCCCTGAAACCACTATAGACACACATGATAAAAGACCAAGAGAGTTAGAAAGAGCGAGAAGGAGTGGTGGAGAGAGAAAGAAAGAGGAACATGTTTGGGAAAATCTAGTCCAGTGTGTTTCATATTCTGTGGCTTTTCCATTCTGCAGAAGACAGAGAAAAGATCTCAGTCGTATTAAAAGTCATCTCCATTGACTGGAACACACTAGGCCTCACAAAGGACCTGGAGTGAACAATGCTGAATGTCAGTGGGAAAAGAAAAGGGCAGGAACTGGACAGGTAACAGTTGTTCCATGGCTTTTACAACAAGGCCTTTCCCTAGGCTCTTATGTTGTCACCTGCCTTTTGCCAAGAATATGCTCAAGCCGCCAACCACATAGAGTGAGATCTGCAGCCAAGGGTGCTTTCAAATAAGAAAACCCTCAGAACTGGCTGGTTTGGATCACAAATAGTCTACACACTTTGATGATGTCACATTATAAGTGGAAAAAGTACATTGGCTGACAGCAAGTGACATGACATAATGAAAGCTCTGATTGGCAAGAACAGTCACAAGCACTTCAATATCAACTATACTAAGAGGTGACAGAAAAAAAATATGTAATGGTTGTGGCCAATAAAATACAATAAAATACAGTGGTGGCCAACGTTATTAGAATGGTAAGATTTTTTAATGTTTTAAAATAAGTCTTTAAAATAAGTGCTCACCAAGGCTTCATTTATATTATCCAAAATACAGCAAAAACAGTAATATTTTGAAATATTTTTACAATTAAAAATAACTTTTCTATTTGGAAAAATAGCTTCTATTTTCTATCTGAAATGTTCAACAAATCGGCAGAATGATTTCTGAAGGATCATGTGACACTGAAGACTGGAGTAATGATACTGAAAATTCAGTTTTGATCACAGAAATAAATTACATTTTAAAATATATTCAAATAGAAAGTTATTTTAAATTGTAAAAAAAATATTTCACAATATTACAGTTTTTGCTGTATTTTGGATCAAATAAACAAAGCCTTGGTGAGCAGAAGAGACTTCTTAAAAAATCTTACCGTTTTAATAATTTTGGTAACCACTGTATATATATTGTTATGGCCGACTTGTGGCCGCAACAATATAGGAAATTAAAGCAAAAGATCAATTTAATGAATAAGGTTTATTACATAATTCTAGAGGTTTCACAAAGTCCAATAATACATTTTATGCCATCTGAAAAGTCCCAAAATTCCGACAGAAGCTAGATCCTGTTTTAGCGAGGAAACAAGAGGCAAGCCATAGATGATGTCACCTCTCTGATGTCACCAACACATATATCTCCACCTCCTAATTTGAATCAGGTGTTCCTCAACCACCTACAAAACCAAGACATGCAAAGAAACCAAAACACACCCATAACACCTCCCCTCTTAAGAGAGTTGTAGTACTGACTACTGAAAAAAAAACAGTGACTATCCAACCTACATCATCGATCTGTCAGCACATTCACTTGCAAACAGCTGAGCTGCTGAAAACATCAACAGGTGTTTCTAATTACTCACGCGTCTTAAAACATGAATAAAAAAATGCATAAATGTCTATCACGCGAAACAAGTGAATATAAGTCTCTTATTACGTGAGCTACAAAGTTTTGAAAAAAAATCCCGGACGAGCCCCCATTTTGTTACGGTCGACTATAGGGATGTCAACGATTAATCGCCGATCGATTAATTGTGGATAATATATTCAATTGAGTTTGTTTGGGACTATTTTACACCTTCATCAAGAATTATTATATTATTATAATATTATTATTATAATAATATAATATTAATATTATTATATATATAATATTTTATTATTTAATATTTTAGATATTATATTTTATCTATTTTATTATTTTATATTTTATCTACATTTATCTATATCTGATTTATCTCATATTGGATGCATTTGGTTAAGAATTGACGTGATCTTAGCGCTCTCAGCTCAAACGACAATGAACGACTAATAATGACCATTGGGACTGTCATATTACTCAAGATTATAAAGAGAACAATATTGTAATAAAACATTGTGAATTTGGGTTTAGATGCCAAGTCACGTTGTTCCAGGAAGAGCGCATCCACCACAACGAGTCATTCTGAATGGCACGTAACTTAGTTTAAGTTCACTTGTGAATTCACATCATTTTGTGCAGATATAATTTTGTAATATTACGTTTATTTTGTAAATATCTGATTAATATCAAATAGAATGTGTTTCTTTGAGTTAAATAAATGCTAACAAAGCGCTCAACGGTTATTCATTCAGCGCGCGGCGCTCAAGCAGAATGCACAACTAATAATAACGATGGTTAATTTAAGACTCATGTTACATAACAAGAGAACACTATTTTATTTTAATTAGTTGCCGTTTCCAGTGTGCTGTATATATATATATATATATATATATATATATGTACATACATATACACACACACACACTGATCAAAAGTCTTTCAAATAAATTAATGCTTTTGGCAAGGATGCATTTTATCAAAACTGACAGTAAAAACATTGATAATACTACAAGAGACTTCTGTTTCAATTGTTCACAGAACAGAATATATGTGCTTTTCGAAGATGTAGAAGTAGGTCATTAACTTTTCACATTCTACATGCATTTCCCTATACTCCTTTTATCCCTTAATACTAAATACTAAAAATGT